TGGCAATAGATGTTAGCTCAGAGCCGGTCTTCCTCAGCAAAAAGAGGAGGATTAGCATGGATGTTAGCTCAGGGCTCATCTTCCTCACAAAAAAAATAAATAAATAAATAAAATTACTCTTGCCTCTAAAATGCCCAAACTTGCTGAACATTTTCTCCAGCTCATTGTACATTGCTTCCTTTAGTTATTATATGTATTAGTGCTTTCCAATGTAAATATAATTGTCAAATATATAATTTAAAATTTTTTAGTAGCTACATCTTAAAAAGTAAAAAGAAACAGGTGAAATTAATTTTAAGGATGTTTTGTTTAACCTAATATATCTAAAATGTTACCATTTCAACATGAAATCAATATAAAAATTATTGAGATACTTTTCTATTGTCTTCAAAATTTGTTGTGTATTTTACGTTACAGTAGCGTATCTCAATTTGATCTACCCACATTTCAAGTGCTTAGTAGTCATGTGGCTAGTAGCTACATATTAGGCAGTGCCTATAATGTGTCTTTGCTTATAAACATATTGTATTATATAGAGAAAAGGGAATACTTCAGAATATCTTTTCTGTTTGACATTATTATTAGAGAGATTGTCATAGTCTAGATTTGGGGGAGAGGTATAGAAGCATAGAACAATTAAGAAAATTAAATTTTACTTCAAAACCTGTGGTTGGGTTTTATTGATTATACAACATATTCGTTAATTTTAGAGATTATAGAAATACCAATTTGGATTTTATTCACGAATGGAAATTCTTGAGAATGAATTTCCTTTGATAATGTGGACAGTGTAGATTATTGGAAAGCATTTAGTTTCAACAAAATTCAATTCCATTAATCTTTGAGTATGTACTACTTTCCATCTGTAATCTCAGGAGAAGCTAATTTTGACGATCAGTTTCTCTTCAAAAAATTGCTTCAAAGGTTAAAAAAATAAAACCTCAAATAGCTATTAAAAATTTCGTATCATGTATTATAAGTAGTCTTAAATACGAGTTTCTTTATGTAAACATTTCCTCAAAGTTACTGGAAATTTATTGTGATATCTTTTTATTAAAGAAATATTGTTTTGGCCCTCTAGATAAATCATTACCTGAAAAAGGAATTTGAAAAAGATGAGAAGCCATATGACAAGTCATATCAGAATGCGGTTTTAGAAGATATTTTTAAGAAGAATGACCATGATGGTGATGGCTTCATTTCTTCCAAGGAATACAATGTGTATCAACATGACGAACTATAGCATATTTTTATTTCTAAATTTTCTTAGCTACTTACTGTACTTTATATATAAAACAAAGTCACTCTTCTCCAAGTTATATTTTCTGTTTTTCCCCCATGAGAACATATTTTGATCCCCTCAATACATGTAATTTGGGGAAAATAAATGTGAGGCTATTTTGCAAATTTAACTTTCAGGAAAGGTATGATTGTGTTTCTGATCGCTTTATTCTGTTACCACGAAATGCAGCACCATGAAATCGACCTCTGTGTCCCATTGGAGGGTTTTCTCCCTTCAGGTATGAGAGGACATCTACGTCAAAATCTTCAGGCTCTTCCCAACTCTAATCTTAACAGCATGTATAAATATGTAAATATTTAATATTTTAAATGTTAAAATGCCCCATATTTTTAAAATATTCAATAGGGACCTGGAATTAACATTTCATTTGTTGTACATTTCACAGCATTATGGATAGTAGGATATAAAAATCATAGGACTGGGGCCAGCCTGTTGGCACAGTGGTCAAGTTCTTGGGCTCTGCTTCAGCAGCCTGGGGTTCTCAGGTTCGGATCCTGGTGCGAACCAACACACCACTTGTCAAGCCATGCTGTGGTGGTGTCACAATAAAGTAGAGGAAGATGGGCACAGATGTTAGCCCAGCGCCAATCTTCCTCAGCAAAAAGAGGAGGATTGGCAATGGATGTTACCTCAGGGCTAATCTTCCTCACACACACACAAAAAAAATCATAGGACTAAAGAGTCTTCCTTTGGTATGCATGCAGGAAAATATTAGTTGTATAACTCTGTCCCACAGAGAGCCTCAACACAGTCTCTGTATTTTTTGGTGCAAGCTTCTGGCTTTGGGTATTTGTTCCAATGAGGAATGTTTATTTATTTATTTATTTATTAATATTTTTTAAACTTTATTTATTTTTCCCCCCAAAGCCCCAGTAGATAGTTGTATGTCATAGCTGCATATCCTTCTAGTTGCTGTATGTGGGACACGGCCTCAGCATGGCCAGAGAAGCGGTGTGTCGGTGCGTGCCCGGGATCCGAACCCGGGCCGCCAGTTGCAGAGCGTGCGCACTTAACCGCTAAGCCACGGGGCTGGCCCCAATGGGGAATGTTTAAAGATCAAACCAAAGCCTTTATGTCTCTTATAGCAGGCATAATAAAGTCTATACTGCTGAGTCTTGTACTCCTTCAGACATCATTATAAATGTGCCACTATTCTTCCTTCTCATAGGCCTTTATATCTACCATCCCTAACTTTTTGTCCTGATTTTGTCCTTTTAAATGGGATGCCATGGTATTTCTTAGTTTCCAGTTCCCTTTCTCTAGGTGTGTCTATCCTATGTTACTTTATTTCACAATGTTCTTGTTATTAATCATGAATGAGCATTACCAACTGGTATGCCATCAAATTTTTGATAAATGTATAGAATTTATTTTACACATGAGGATTGTAAGGATATCAAATAGGATACAAATGAGGATATACAGTGCTATGGCAATTTTGTGTCACAGTCAAATCATGACGTGGTACCACTTGTTGAGAATAAGAGGTAAGAGATGCTGTAGATCATCACATTGGTGCCAAAGAAAGGGCACATATTTATTGGAACATGTAAGATTTGCCCTACTGTGTATGTAAGGAAGTATGGTCAGGCAGTAAATAGCTCTGTTCAAAACAAGTGAGTTGAAAACAAAGGTTTTTCCATTTTCTGAAACTTGCTCTTTCAAATCATTGTTAATTGTTCATCTTTTAACCTCTTTAGATATACTGCTAGAAATTCTATTATTTAAAAGTTTAGGGGTAACACAAAACCCACCAGATTAGTGGATCTCACATACGCACAGCACAGAATTTGACACTTATGAAACAAAAACCTGTTCTTACTCCCAATATTTCTTCATTCCTGTACCCAAGTTTATAACTCCTTCTCACTTGCTCAATCATCAACTCTCTCTCATCCCTTTACTTCCCTCAGAAAAACCTGAATAGCTGAAGTAAAACTAAGTTGATAACTCAGTATTCTTACGTTTTGGTTTGGAAACTGCCCTCATTCTCTATATCCATATAAAAAAGTCACTAGAGCCTTTTTGATCAGTATACTCATATTGCATTCAAACCATATATGCTACCCAAAACAAAAATACAGTGAAAGAAAATAGATATGGAAACTATCCTATAATAGAAACTATTTATAATTCTAACCTTTCTGTCCCATTGTTTTCATACAAAGTGCTTTTAAACTTAGGTTTTGAAAAACTATAGGTAGGGCCGGCCCCGTGGCTTAGCGGTTAAGTTCGCGTGCTCCGCGGCTGGCTGCCCGGGTTCAGATTCCAGGTGCGCACCGACGCACCGCTTCTCCGGCCATGCTGAGGCCGCGTCCCACATACAGCAACTAGAAGGATGTGCAGCTATGACATACAACTATCTACTGGGGCTTTGGGGGAATAAATAAATAAATAAATAAATAAAATTATGAAAAACTATAGGTGAAGTTAAATGAATAGGCAGATTTGCTCTAAAACTAGAATCAACAGTTAAATAATTAAAAAATAAAATTTTAATCATTCTCCATACATATAGTATACATGTATTTATATTTACACAATTGCTTTATACCTTCATAGGTATATACCTCATAGTGAGTGCTTTAAGTATACATTTTGAGTTCTAGAATTTTAACATATTATTTTTGCAATTATTTTAATAAGGGTATATAGCAAATTAATAATTTAGTTTAAGTTGTTTGTATATGAAAAATTCAGGTGTCTTACAGAGTAGATGAAAAAGATCTCCCAGAACTAAATACGTTAAATATTTTAAACATTTTCAAAGGAGAAAAGAAATAAACGTGTACTAGCTGCCTTAACTTTAAAATGACAGTGGTGAGTTTTACAAAGACAAAACTAGCCAGCATATGCACATCACAGAATGGCATCACAGAATGACTGCCACAGAATGGCAGTCACTAATAGTGATTGATCACTATCAGTCACCCTGTTAACTGTGTACACAAAACCCCACACTGAGCTCTGTGCTTTTAATTTGATACTGCAATTAAACATTTAGGATTACATTAAATTATTAACACATTTTTCTCATTTTACCAGACCTAGGGCAATACTTAAAGCACCATAAAGTCGCTACTTGTGCATTCTTGTCACCCTTAAATGTTGAATTAAAAATAAAATTGATATTTAGAAAAATCTCTATGTAAAAAGTTATCTAAAACGATAGACTAAATCCCAAAAATATTTCTGAAATGACTGGCAGATTTTATGAAGGAACATCTATATTCTGAATTTTATATTTAAACCTTTTTATAATATAATTATAACATATAAACAATATCATTGGTCTTCATGACAATTTATGAGGTAGACACTATTATGATCTGCACCTTATAGATGAGGAAAATGATACCCAGACAGGTTAACTTCTCTCTCCTCTCCCTAATTTGCCACAATTCATCAAAGTGAACCTATGTAACTTTGGAACAAGTCTGTGGCATAGTTGCACCTAAAACACCAGCCAGGTACACTCATTTTTCATTTTATTTCATTCTCTTGTGCCAGACATCAAAACAAGGAACTGCATGAAGTCTCACATACTTCTGCCCGTCGACAGAACACTGGAAGCACCCATAAACCGTCTCCCTTTTAAAGTTCCCCATTCCACAGAGTATGCAAGGTCCTTTTGGAATGTTGTGATTAAGTAAGTTAACTCGGATATGTGTCCCTTCTTTGAGTGAAATATCAGTCATGCTGAGGGGTTTGTCATAATAGTCAGAAAAAAGATCATCTAAGTAAAGCTGTGAACGAGAAATGGCGTCCATCACTCTTCTGTCTAAAAGGACAAAAACAGAGAAATGTGTCAGAAGTCAAAACACATATAACCAATCTGCATTTATAAACACTACATGAATCTAAACCATCGCTCAAGAAATTATGTAGCTTTTAAGTTTAAATTTTTCCTTAACAGACAGGATTATTGAATAGATAACCTCAAGTGTCAATCCGAGAAGGAAAAAAATATATTTGAAACACTCTTCAATGGACGTACTTCTCTCGAATAGTATATTTCTCAATCTGTAGAGCAGTGCAAACGTTGCTCTTTCTTCCCTTTCAAATCCTCCTTTTGACACTGAAGTGACACAAAGGTCTATAAAAAAAATTTTAGAAGATGTTATAACTTGAACAACTCATTTTATTGGGAGTTTTAGTTGTGGTTGATGAATTCTGGTACATGCCATTCATTTTATTTTTTTAAGTTAAATTTTACATATTTCTGGAAAAGGTAACATTCAGATGGTACAAAATTAAAAGAGTACAGACAGGGGATACAGTGACAGATAAGTCTCTAGTCTACCCTGACCCCAGCCTCAGTTTTCCACCCTAGAGGTAACCACTTTTAAGTTACTTGTGTGTACTTCCAGAAATACTCCATATATTGTACAAGCATAAAAGGATATGTATGTATGCATGTATATAAAATTAGGCTCAAATAGTTACATACTATGCCTGTTTATTTAAAATATCTCTTAGAGATTATTCCATGTCAGCATCTATAATGCTACCTCATTCTCAATGGCTTCCTAGTATTCTGTTGTGGACGCACCATTACTTACCTAGTTGCTGATAATAGATCTTAAGGTTATTTCCAATCTTTTCCTATTATGAAGTAATATCCTTATACCCATATCATTTCACATTTGTGTAAGTATATCTGTAGGATAAATTCCTAAAAGTGTAAGTAAGGCTAAAGTATATTCACATTTTAAATTCTGATGGATATATCAGTTCTATCAGTTTATACTCCTACTGACAATCAATATGTGTAAAAACCTACACCTGAAGTGTCCCAAATAGAATTTAATCAGCATGGTTTTTTTGTTTCTGTACTCTCTATTCCCTCCTCCCACAGAACTGCAGAAACAAACAAAAACAGGTCTAAAAATGTTTATAAACTACCATAGCTAGGGGGCTCCCTTGCCTAGTCCCTTGGGCTATGTCCATCCTTGAACTGACTGGGCTCCTAATCTTACAGACCTGCGAAATGTAGAAATCTAAAGTGAACTGCACTGAGGTATGATATAAGGTGACAATTTTAGAAGAAGTATTTGTACTTTTAAAGTTATTTCTTAGGGAGAATTGGGAAGCTGGATCTGTGATAGG